ACATGTTATAATTTAATAAAAACAACAAGTAGATTTTGTTGCCTAACATTTCAAACACATAATTTACAATACATTTTATACACACTCTTTGGAAACAAAATATTTGTTTAGAGATTTTCTCTAAAATAAATTATTATTATTATTTCATTTGCTTTCGTTTTATTGCCTGAATATATCTATTGCTTGAATAAATCAAATGAACATTTGTTACAATGGCTTGTCTTTTGTGTGCTTTTTTATTTAGCAATAAATGAAGCGATTCTTAACCTCTGAACTGAAATCTACTGCCGATCTGTATATTTGTTTGTATTTACGGTAACTTTTAGTTGGATTGCAAACCATTTGATATTAAAAGGTCTAATGTTTTCATTAATAGTTAAAAGGCATAAGAGTTTTGCCAGTTTTGAGACAATCTTAAAGAAATAAACCGTTTGAGAAGTAATGGCATCGCATTTGAACGGCTAATCAACACATATTGAAACCATTAGAGACATTAGAGAGACGTCTCTTACGGCACAATGAATCCCAATTGAGTCGTCGGTTCGCACCGCCACTCAAATCAATGTCATGTTTGCCTTTATTTTGTTGATTTCATTCAATAAATACATCATTTGTTTGGCGTTTCCTTTTGTACATAATATTTATATTCATGTTATGATAAACAGTGTTATTCTTGACTACATTTCCAGTAGTTCTCACGTATATAATGAAAATAAATTTATATTAAATGAAAATTTTTTTAGTTATTTTTATTGAACTTTCACTTTTGCCAAACTATACTTCAATAACTCATATCAAACATAAGTTATCTATTATTAAACGCAAAAATAAATATATAAATCTTTGAAAAATTGTATATTTTTTATTTACTTTCCATTCATTTTGACGAATATATAGATGTATTGAAAAAAAATAAAGTCGAGTTTTGTTTTTATAGTAAATTTTTAAAAACTAAAATTCAAAATTAAATGATTTCTCGTTGAGACACATAACAAGAATAAACTAAATATAAATATAGAAAGAAAAATGCTTTTTGTCTTATCATCTAAAATAATGATTGAAACAATAAATGGATTGATTTTTTGACATCAATCAGAAGTGATGCCAAACTCAGTGTTTGATGTGTTCAATAAATATATACACAATATATTGTGAACGACAGTAAAAGAAAGCCTTTGCGATAACTTTATAAACATTGTCGTAAAAAGCCGTTCAATAGAGTGGTAGTTGTGTTTCCGTTGTTTTAATAGCACACAAACTGACACTACATTTCACACCGTCTTTACTATTGATCTCTCAAAAACCTCTTCACACTCTTTGAAGAAAATCAATACCAACTTCTCTATGCCTTGACTTTATGTCTTCATTCAGAGATAAACTTGTGTTTCACTTCATAAGACTACCAGACCTTTTCGCCTACCATTCCTATAGCCTTTCCCAGCGTTCACTTCAACTCTATATTTATAATATTATGATATTTTGATAACAAACATATGAAATACGCTTTTCTTTATTCATTCAAACTCTTTATGAATTAATATTTTCATAAATAATTTTTCATTAATAAGACTGAAAGTAAAAAATGAAAGTGAAATATGAAATGAAAAATCTTATTATATTCAATGTCTATAATAAGTAAAACATGTTTGAGATTTGTTTTTCTTTATTTCATTCAACGTTTCGTTTAATTAACTTTACAATTAATTGCTAAACTTTTTTCTTCAATTTCCAAAACTATTCATATTTTAAACACTTATATATTTTATAAATGGAAAAATTCGCGATATATTTATTTAAACTAATAATAAATATCTTTATTGATTGTATTTATATTTGATGTGATTATCAATAAACAAATGCATAATTAGATAAAAACATTTTAATATACTTTACTTATTGAATGTCTTTTATGTTTAAATAAAACAAAATGCTAAGGAAAACGCTTTTTACAGCAAATGTTTATATATAATATTAAACACATTTATGATTAGAAATATTAAGATATTAATTATTGCAAATAATTAAAAATCTAATATAGAAAATAAAACAAATATAATAAATAATTAATACATTTATAATTAAAGCAATAAATTTTAATAACTTTCTCTTAAATTAAACTTCTTAAAACAATTAATGATAATTATGATAAATATAGTTATAAATAACATTTATAATGTCATATTGAAAAATTGCTAACTTTTCATCTCAATATATTTAAGTAAATTATAATTTTATTATTTTCATTTTTGAAAAATTTCTGCGATATATATAAAATCAAATAAAATGTTGCTTTTAAAACATTACTGATATTTATGTCTCTCAAAAAACAGCCAATATTTGCCTAAATTTAAATTGATATGAAATCAAATGATAAATCAATAGTTATATACAACGTGTATGTGTTGTAGTAATAGTAATATGTGCTGAACGTCTACTTTCCGGGTCCTCCGAGAAATTCACTGCCTCTCGGGTTATAAAAGTCAAGCAAACCATTGGAGAAACGGAGCGGACGTTTGAACGACGAGTTGAGATATTCGGACAACTTTTTGGCCAAATAATAGCTGGGAGTGACGGCACCGCCGATGCGCCTCTTGCCCGCACCCACAAACTCAGACAACCGTTTTAATGGCAAATCGGCAAACAATTCAGGCATACGTTTCCATTTTTGAGAGCCATAAATATCAGATGAAATGTCGGCGTCTGTGTCCACACAATGCCATGGATTTGTTTGGTTTATCCGCCGATCGGCACCAATAGAAACGAAATTATAATTTATTAGTTTAGTTTTGTTTTTGTATTACTTTTATTAAAGTTGTGTAAAATATAATATATTGAATTCCTTTTTTGCTGTAATTTTGTTTTTTAATAACTTTTACACCGATTTTCACTCAACATTAATATAAATAATATTCTCGTTTTGTATAAAATGTATATATTTTTCATGTCAGCATTCAATATATTTGTAAATTAAATTTGAGTTCTTAAAACTTCGCTATTTATTATTAATATTAACTGCAATATAAAACACTGTTTTACGAGCATTTTATGGAAAAACAAAGGCTATAAAGGATAAAGATAAGCAAAAATTCAAATGAATAAACAAGTATTCAATTAATTTCGGGCATATATTCAGGAATTCATTAATTAAAATAACAAATCAATTGGGAATTTAAGAAATGTTAAAATAGAGACATAAAAAGTGTAAATTAATTATTTATCACAAACAAAACACAACTTGTATAACAATTTGAGGTTAACTTACGTTTTTTGTTTAATATGAGAAATACATTTATAAGAACTTAAGTTTTCACACAAAATGGTTTTTAGACAACCTATGATGAAAAGCAAGTGTTTAAAATGATAGTTTAGTTTTACATATATAATTAGCGATTCATTAGAACAATTGTTAATTGTAATTAAAATATTAGTTAATTAATAAACAGTTTTAGGTAGTGATGAGTTTAGTTACGGGTTTAGGCTGTGGGTGCGCTCCTCCGTCTACGTCCGAGAAACTCAGAGCCCATTCGTTTAACTTTATAGAAATCGGCTCTTTTGCCTAAAAACTCTGAACCCATTCGTTTGCCTTTTAGATAATCACATGCCATAAGAATACAAGAGAAATCACACCATTAAATGATTGCTATGAATTGTGGTATCGTTTTGTGTGTATCAAATGTATCATCATTTATATGGATTGTTATATTTAGCGCATATTATATGTGTGTTGTATATAAGTTGTGTCCATATATTATGGATGACATACCGAGGAATTCACTGCCTTTTATTCTCTTATTCATTAAGTTGTGAAGAGTTCCGTAATATTTAGGATTAATCCTTAAGCCGTAAAGTGAGGGTACATTTGAATTGTCAAACTCTGGCTCTTCCTCTTCGTTTAGGTTTGTGTTTAGGCTCTCCTCTGCTTCTGTTGTTTCCGTTTTCATTAGTGTTTTAGTAGTTTTAAACATTTATACATTTTAATAAAAATTTAGTAAATATTAATAATTAATTCTACATTAGAGCTAACTATTAGATCTAAAACTACTTAAAAACAAACAAAATTTTTATTTATAACAAAAACCACTCCTATATTAAGCCATAAATTTTGGCGTTTTATGTAATCATAAGTCAAATTTGTTTAAATTATAATCACTTTTATGGTTAATTTGATACTCTTAATGATTACATATAATTTAAATTGTAGACTTTTTAATTTATAGACTTTTATTAATTAGTCTAAAAATTTATTAATATTAAAATTTTAACGAATAATAAGTTATATAAATGAATACTTAAAGTATAAATAATTTTTAAAAATGTTAACTAGATGCATAAATATTTTATAAAATATAAAATATCTGTCATTTGATTCTAAAAGTGTTTCAATAAATGAAACAAAAAAATAAATAATAACAATGCTTGAATACAAACCATGTTCTGCTGCGATGGCAGTCGTCGTACTAATAATGATAACCAATATTGTAATCCATAGAAGAATGCAATTGAAATTTTTAACGTATATTAATTCCATTATATTCTGTGTGTCTTTCACTTTGTTGTTACGATTCTCTACTTTATAGATATAAAAATGAAAATCAATATAATTAATACCATAATATAGTTGTAGTAAATATTGTTTATTTATAGGTATTCTTGAACTACATGTTAATGACATAAAGGAATACTTTATAATAATTGGCTATTATTTTTTCGCAACTAAACGAAACATTTCTATATGTATAATAAATTGGGTTTTCATTAAACACCAGTGGTTTGCATAATATGAAAGAATATTCTGTATATACTATTAAATAGTTAATTAATATTTTATATCTGTAAAAGATTTAACTATTGAATATATGAATAGTTTTCAATCATTATGCAAATGAATACAAATCTTATATTATAGTTGCAACGAAATAAATATATAATTATGTATTATTTTGTATTTATTGCAACAAATCCATCACTGGTTTTGTCACCAAATTATTTTCAACAAATACATCAAAAACCATGTGATTAAAATTTTTAAATAACAAATTTATGTTTCTAACTCGTAAGTAATTATACTTTTAAATTTTGCCTATAATATATAATTTTACATTAATGTTAAATAAATTTTTAAAATTTATTTTAATATTTATTATTATTTTTGTGTATATTTACAATGTAATGCATGTTATATAAATTATCATCAGTGATATAAATGTAAAAATGTTAGTCTATAAATTCAAACTTAATAAGAAACACCCACATAATGCAAATATTATCATTTTTAGTCTCTTTTATACTCTATATTACTGTTTAAAACTATATGTAAAGACATTTTTGTGTCAAATCTTTGTTTGTTAGGCAAATATTTTCATAATTTTTATAATAAAGTAAAGTTTTGCCATAATATTGAAGATTTTCATGATATACTGTAAGTTTTACAGTGTTTACAATATTATACCCACACTTCACGACCATTAGTATTGCAAACATATATTTAATTTAGTTTATATTGACTTAGATTTTGTATATAAATGTATATAATTATTGTTTATATAATTCTTGTGCTCAAAAGTAGGTTAAAATATTTAAATTGACGAATTTATAAAAATTCACCTTTTGTAGTTTTTAATTTAAATACTTAAAAATAATAAATGTAATAATTTTTCTGAAATTAACTTTCAACAAATTGAAGTGCTTTTAAAAGCATATGAATTATACTAACGAGTGGTAAGTATGGGAATAACGGATGACATCCTTTGTATTATATCCATTAAAACATCATATTTTCTGATGTAATATATTATATAATACTTGATGTTATGAATCCTTTTTAAAACTAAAGGACATTAAGTATATAATGAACACCAAATACATTCTTATAAAGTATTTTACAAAAAAATACAATATTTTTTGTTTTTAGTAAAATTTTATTCAAATTTAAAAGCATTTAAGTTTGTTTTAAACAGAAATTATTAATGAAATAAAGATAAAGGTTTCTAATAATTAGAAGATACTTAAATTATTTTTTAAATTATAATATATGGTTTATATGTATTATAATCTAAATTAATGTTTTTAATAATAAACTAAAAGTAATTTATTTCTATAATTTAGACGTATTTTAAAATTTAATTAATGTTTTACATTAATTCTCAAAACGATACCAAATAATTGTGATAAAAAGGCCATAAATTGTATAATTGAGATAAAATTCATCATAAATTCTATTTCTATATACATTAGGAACTGAATTAATAACTTGTCTCTCATTTTGTGTTTAATTTTTTTATGTTTAAAAAATAAAAATTTTAAGATAGAGGAAAGTAATAAATATTTAATAATTATTCATTATATTAGTTGCGGTAATGTTTGTAAATGCTTATTCATTTCTCAATTAAACTATTCTTAAACCGATCTCTACTTCAATCACAATATCAAACATATAATGAATAATAAATATTATTTTTAAAATGAAAGAAATTATTTTCTTCGGGCATTTAAATAGACATTTGTTGGCAAAAGAAACACAACTTTAAGTGTTTTAAAAGATAATTGAAAGTTTTGTCTTAAAATTGGCTTCAGATTTAAGTATACAAATTTTGTTATATCTGATTGCAAAATCTGTATTCAAATTCTATAATATAAGTGATTTATATAAGAAATAACCTCAATTATAATTGTAAGTAGTACTTATCATTCAAATATTTAATTATTTACAAGATATACTACATATTATCAATTATTAAAAAAATTCTGTGTCCTATAATAATAATAACATAAATATGATATATTTTGGAGGGAATAAAACAAACATCAAAACAGTTGTGCCGTAAATAAACATAAGAATAGGTTATGAATACTAAATGTGGTTTTATATTATACACAACAAATATATACCTTCTTTAATGTTATACACATTTTGATTATTTATATGAATTGATAGTCTCATACATTTGTCACCAAATGATTTGGGAATTTAAATTTCATGTCAGAGACTATAAATTCCTTATTCAATATATTTTGCTTTCTATCGGTTTTGTCACGAATAATATTTATATAGAAAACAATTCACTTTTAAAATAATAAAATAATGCAGTATATTCATAAAATCAGAATTAATTCTTACATATACACACTTTTACATATTTTGTTATTTTAAATTCATGTGTTTCAATATAAAATATAATAGTTTTGTTAATTTTCGTAACAGGCTTTATTTTTCGCAGAGGTCTTGTGATCATTATATGAAGTATATTCTTACAGTTTAAGGCCTATAGTATAGGATGTATTGGAGATACAAGTGCTCTGAGGGTATAAATACAACATTTATACGAATGTGAAAAAACGCATTTTTGTGTTTAGATTTCTTGAATTTGTCTGCAATTTGTTTTGTTTTTCAATTTCATATTGAAATTTATGGACAAATTCACAAAGAGATATACATTCAGATTGAAGTGAATGGCTATACTTTAGGCCTTCATTATAAATGCATGCATTGAAAAGTGGTATTTCATCTCAAACTTTGAAAACTCATCTTTTCTTTGCCGAAAACATACATAAGATTTGTTGAACAACAGAAATATTGGCACAAATAAAAAGACTCCTAATATCTGATGACTTAAACATTGAATTTCAAAGCATTGAGTGTTTCTCAAGTCAGCGAAAAATATTTTTATATTCAATACTTTTGACACAAGAAAAGTACACAAATTTTATACGTGTCTTATATGTGTTCACTATATAAAAAGTGATATAAAATATTTGGTATAATATAAGGACATTTCGCTTCAATTATTTAACAAAATTGGCCATAAGTTTCATACTATAGTAATATTTTTTAAAAATAAATTTACCAATATACACTGTTAAATCAAATAAAACATACAGTATGTTTGACAAATAGTACACTTATAGTATAACTCGGCAGAATAAAATAGGGGACATTAATAATATGACGTGGTTATTGAATCATCAAAATATAGACTTTATATTAGAGTACATTATATGTGACTAACATATGAATAGTGTATAAATTACAACACAAGGGTTTTATGTTAGGTGTACTCTAGTGTAAATAATGCCTGCTGATAACTTATACCAATTGGAATTGTACCAATACCAAATTTCCATGCAAATATTTAAATAGTTTATATTCAAAAATATTAATTATTGGTTATTCATAGCATTGACAAAATAAGTATTTACTTTAATAAATAAACAGTAGCAGTAAAATAATGTTTTATAATATTGAGCACCCAACTTTCCCCTCACATTTTGAAATGTTACTCTTGTATAATTGTAACATGTGAATTTAATGTTAAATATGATATAATACTTTTCAATTGATATTTTAATCTTATTGGTAAATATTAACTTTGAAAATTTTTAAACATTTATAAATTGAAAGTTTTACCTACCTTCAATTAAATTATAATTAACTGAGTTTTGCTTACAAATCATTTTTTATTTTATAACAAAAAATTGTTATTTGAGAATTAAATTAATTTCTCTTTTATGTAAATTCTATTTATAAGTGTAAAATGTAAAGATATTTCTCCATTATTATAATGGTTTGAAATTAATGTAATATAATAAAAGCACATAAAAGATCTTAATTATATCCCTATCTTCTTAATTATGTTTGTTTTGTTATACACTATATTTAAACGTATAAATAATTTAACTAAATATTTTGAATATAATAAGTAATTTATTCACAAAAAAATCTCTGATATAAATAAATAATTTAATTAAAACATCTTTTATGACCAATTCTTTACACAAAAATTTCTTACAAATACTCTTCACTGAATGTCTTATAAAAACAAAATAGACTTAATTAGAGAGAGAGAGAGAGAGAGAGAGAGAGAGAGCATTAAAATCACATAACTCAAAACACATATTTATGCAGAATTTAAAATATATTCTTTTAAACAAATGTAAATCCTTGGAGTTTATGAGTGCATAAAATTTTAGGTAATATTTGTAATAAAATTTAAAGATATAATATACTGTATTCCTAAAATTATATAAATTTAATTATAATACAATCAAAACCTTAAGTTCGTTTAATAATTATTAAAACAATAAATTTATATATCAATAGGAAATTATTACTAGAAAAAACCGATTTAATTGACATTTTATTTGACATTTGATATAAATTAAAATAATTATATAATGAAAGTGTATAACCCTTGAAATTTGCTGCCAAAAAACAAACATAAAAATCATTTTACAGGTAAATGTATTGTTAATATGAAACCAATTGGCCATTTGGTTGGTTATGCCCAACAGTTGTTATGATATACACACAAAGTAAGGGCTGTTGATCGCCGCCACCGACAGCTCCCAACTCACCGGCGCTGGGAGTGTGCGTATGGGCCCAACAATTGGGTGCT